TCTAGGGTTTTGAATATGGTTTTTTGAGAAGAGCAATTGAGCGGTGATTTTAGATTAAAATCACACGCGGTATTTTTTTGAGAGATATCAAGTTTGAGATCTTCTCTATTTCAAGCTTTGTAATTTCTTATGGTTAAATAAGAAATTATTTGCGCGGCTCCCGTGGATATAGTCAAGTTTACCGAACCACGTAAATCTGTTGTCTCGTCTCATTTACTTACTATTTTATCTGTGTATTCGTTATTACTTGTGATTGGTTGAATTTGAGTTTGGCTTAAACTCAAGCTTGGATTGTTTTTTCTTAGGATTAATTAGCTTCCGCGGCGGTGTGGGAGTCTCTCGCCCCCAACAATTGGTATCAGAACCCTTTATTCAGATTGGTGGTGGTAGAATTTCTGATTTGAGGTGGTGCTTGGTTATTGTGTGGTGCACACAAGGTATTTGTTAAAATTCCTAAGAGAAGCGGATTTATTTATATAAGCGGAGAATGACATCTACAAGTAAAACTGTTAAAGTTGGAAAGTATGAGATCGAGAAATTCAATGGGAAGAAGGATTTCTCTTATTTTTGGAGGATGCAGATGAAAAATTCATTGGTTTTGCAGAAATTGCACAAGGCTTTGACGGGAAGAGAAAAGAAGCACAAAGATATGTCTGATGAGGATTGGGAAGAGTTAGATCTCGAAGCACGAGCGTCGATTATCCTATGCTTTGAGAGAGATGTTGCTTTCTTGGTGGATGGAGAGGAGGAAACGGCTGCGGGCGTGTGGTCAAAGTTAGAGAGTACCTTCATGACGAAGAGTTTAACAAATCGGATCTACTTGAAATCTAAATTGTATACTTGTAAGATGAAGGAAGGCACGTCAATCCGGGAATACATCAACAAGTTCGATAGGATAATATCGGATTTGAAGGACATTGATGTGACAGTAGAAGATGAGGATCAAGCACTTCTGCTACTTCTTTCTTTACCGAAGTCTTATGAGAACCTGGTACAAATATTGATGCTTGTGGGTAAAAATTTGAAGATGGATGAGACTAGAACAACGCTTCTGACAGATGATCTTCAAAAAATTACAACTAGTGATATGGCCACTAGTGGTAACAAGGAGCAGACATATGGATTGTTTGTAAGCGGAAGGAGCAATGAGCGAGGAAAAGACAAGTAAGGAAAATCTAGATCGAAATCAAGACCTCTTGTGGGAAGACCGTGTTTCAAATGCGGTGAACTTGGACATTTCAAGGTTAACTATCCTAACAAGAGAGTAGGTGGGAAAAAACAACAATAAAATTGAGAGGAGAGAAGGCAAGGAAGAGGCGAGTTACGTCTCGGAGGAAGAGAGCGATAAAGAATGCTATGTTGTTACGGGTGACGAAGATATCTCCGGTAAGTTGATTCTTGATTTGGGTTGCTCTTACAATATGTGCCCAAATAGAAAGTGTTTTACTACCTATAGAAACATTGATGGTGAAACTTTATTGATGGGGGAATAACTATGTTTGTAAAACGGTAGGGCTTGGTGATATAAAAATCAAAATGCATGATGGAGTGGTCAAAACCCTAACCAAAGTGAGGCATGTTTCCGACTTGCGAAAAAAATCTTAACTCAGTTGGCGTTTTGGACTCCGATGGTTGCAAGATTGTAACAGAGAATGGAGTAATGAATGCTATTTGGAGTTCCTTAGTAGTGATGAAGGGCATTCGTCACGGAAATCTATATACTCTTTTAGGTATGATAGTGATGGAAGATGCAGCGGATGGAACTGAAGGAAGTGGTGGAGACCCATGTGAGCACACACTGTTATAGCATAGGTGGCTTGGACACATGTCAGAGAAGGGTCTAGATCTGCTTGGTAAAGAAGGTTTGCTAAAGAACATGAAGAAACCTTACATGGATTTTTGTGAGGATTGTGTGTAAGGAAAGGTGCACAGTGTTTAGTTTCTGAGAAGTAAGCACAAGAGCAGATGTATATTAGACTATGTGTATACAGACGTTTGGGGTCCGGCTCAGACAACTTCCAAGGGTGGTTCCAGGTATTTTGTCTCATTCATAGATGATCATTCGGGGTATGTTTAGATTTATTTTCTTAAGCATAAGAATGAGGTATTCGAGACATTCAAGAAGTGGAAAGCAATGGTTGAGAATAGGACAAGAAATTGAAGACACTGAGGTCTAATAACGGTACAGAGTATACATACGGTGTTTTCAAGGAGTTCTGCAATCATGAGGGTATTGCTCGACATTGGACAGCCAAGTCTACACCACAGCAGAATGGATTCGTAGAGAGACTGAACCGAACATTGCGGGAGAAAGCAATGAGTATGTGATCATATGCTGGTTTGGGTAAAGAATGATGGGCAGAAACGGTTGCTACAGCTTGTTACATAGTGAACCGTTCTCCACATTCGATATTGAATGGTGATGTAACTTATCGGGTATGGTCAAGAGAGCATGCAGATTATGATAGAATCAAAATTTTCGGATGTACTGCCTACTACCACGTCAACGAGGGAAAGCTTGAATGAGGGCTAAGAAGATAATATTCTTGGGGTATGCAAAGGGTGTAAAAAGCTATCACCTTTGGTGTACAAAAGATTTTAAGTTCATGATCAGCAGGGATGTAACCTTTGATGAGAAATCCATGATTGCCAGGGCATCCAAGAACGGTGGTGTTGGGACTATTGGAACTTCAAAGTTCTAGGTTATTAAAATAGAACCTAAAGACCAATCAGGTTCTAGTCATGTTCAAGAGGAGGATCATGAATATGATGAGCTTGAACATGAGGAGGTTCAGCAAGAAAATGTATACGTATTACAACAACAACAGCTCGAAGATAGTTTGGCTTCCACTAGGCCAAGGTGAGCATACAAGCAGGTTCAGAAGCTGGGGTCAGATCAGCCTCTAAAGTACTATGGGAAAGTAAATTTGGTTGAGTACACACTCTCGATGGAGAATGATGAGCCGGTCATCTTTAAAGAAGCTATTCGGGACAAGCATAGTGAGAGTTGGTTGGCTGCGATGGGGGAAGAGATGGAATCTCTCCAGAAAAACCAAACATAGGAGGTGGTCCCATTACCTGTAGGGAGGAAAGCTATATGTTATAAGTGGGTGTACAAGAGAAAGGAGGATCCTTCAGAGCTTGACGGTACAAGGTACAAGACTAGGCTAGTAGCTAAGGGGTTTGCACAAAAAGAGGGTGTGGATTACAATAAAATCTTTTCTCTGGTAGTGTAACACACATCTATTCGGATGCTATTGAGTATTGTTTCTCATGGTGATCTTGAGCTGGAATAACTTAATGTCAAAACGGCCTTCTTGCATAGAGACTTGGATGAGAAAATCTATATGCATAGCCTAAGGGTTACAAGGTTGAGGATAATGAGCATCAGGTATGTCGCTTGAGGAAATCACTTTATGGATTGAAACAATCTCCTCGGTAGTGGTACAAGCAATTTGACTCCTTCATGCTAAAGCATGGGTTCTCCAGAAGTGACTATGATTGTTGTGTATATATTCAGAAGCTTCATGAAGGTGATTATATCTATCTTTTTTTATATGTAGATGTCATGCTTATTACTTCAAAAAGTAAGGTGGAGATATATACGCTGAAATCTTAACTTGATAAAGAGTTTGAGATAAAGGACATGTGTGCTGCTAAGTAAATAATGGGTATGGAGATTAGAAGAGAGCGGGCAAATTGGCGATTGTTCTTGAGTCAGAAGGGCTAGATTGAGCGGGTAATCGCTAGGTTTGGGATGCAAAACTTCAATCTTGGCCGAGTTTGCACTCCTTTAATAACATTGTTGATGTTGGGTTCTCGTGTTTGTCCTATTTTATTGAGTCAATGGCACCATCGCCAAATTCGACGCGAATTGCTTCGTTGGAAGAATGATCCTCGTTGTGCAAAAATTCGTCAATCGTGTCAATAACTAGGGGTCGCCATGCACCCGAAGCTAACTGTATGTCGTCGGCATCAACCCGTCGCTAACACTCCATTGTTGTTCCCCATCGTCTCCAAAACTGGTAATTGTTGTCAATAAAAAAATGTTGGATAGCAGGTTATTGGGCAAAACAAGATTCCTAGTCTGTTTTTGTTTTGGTTTAG